GAACAAGGTCCGGAACTGGGGCCGCTTTTGGCACTTTTTGCAACAAGCTCAGCGGGCTGGAATTCGCAGGCTTTTCGGGCAGAAAACGGAATTTCGGAGCACAGCGAACGTCTGGAGCCGGTTTTGGCGGAAAACGAGCGAATTTGGAGGCTCGGGCACCACTTTTGACGTCTGACGAAAAAACGAACTTTTTGGAGTTGTCCGTTTTAAGCGCTTTTTGCACAAAAAAGGGCGGTGACGAAGCGGTAACGTCGCTGGTGACTAGTTCAGCTGGTTGGAAATTTGGCTGTTTTGGACGGTTTTTTGGGTAAAAGGCAAAAAAGAATAGGTTACGAAAAAAAAATCTTACTAACAGCACTTAGGCTGTTATTGAAGCAAGCTGAAAACCCTTGCAGAAGTGCAAGCAGAAGGGCTGTGGCCGCACCGCGCAAAACCACCAAATTTTCGCAGAATCCACATTTGCTAAATGATAACCTTTGAAGATGCGCTGTGAGCGGTTTCAGATTTTACAAATAACAGAGAGAGTTAGACCAATGTCAAGGGGGGAAATTCATGTCCATAGGACTTCTGCAAAGCAAACTGGCAGAACGAAGCCCCAGAGCTTCCGTAGGCGCCTTCCGTTTGAGGCCGCTTGATCTGTGAATTGCAATGCTTTAAACAAAAAAACCACTTGCAGTTTTACGTTTTACACATGCGCTTTCAGCCCTGTCGAAACAAACGTTGCGCTTTGGCAGAAAGCCGATTACCAAACACATGCTTAATGTCCAAGAAGCAGAACGAAGCAGTGTATGTTGAAAAGCATCATCAAGGCGCTTGCAGCGGCCCAGCGTTGTGCTGCGTTGGGTGGACGCGGATTTGCCGGCAGGAAGCGGGCAAGCTTGGGTTCTTGTTGCCACTTTGTTTTTGGACTGGCCCTTTGGCTGCTGGGTTTTTGCTAGAAGGCCTTCCATGGAGCAGAGCACTCAAGGGTGTGTTGGCCGATCAAGAGACGTTTTAATTTGCGCACCGGCGCTGGAATTTACAGGACTTCTGTCTCTTGCGCTGCAGCTGGATATGCTCCGTGGCAGTGCTGTTTTGTTGCATCTCCGTGTGCTGAGGCAGCAGCAAGCTTGGATGGTGGGAGTGTTGGCATTCACAGACATGGTGGAGGCAGTTGCAGATCAGTGCCGACCCACCGTTGAAATGTCCATGAAACACTTTAAGGCCTTGTTCGATCGACAGGACTGAGGGGCACTTCCGCCCTTCGTGTAGCTAAGACGAGCAACATTAAGGTAGACGCAAGCGACTGGTGGATGATTTTGCGTGGGCTTTTAAGTCTATGCAGATGCCGTGACATTCCGGTTTGGCAATGGCGGGCACCGGAGGATGATGCCTCCATGCTTCGCACGTTTATCCTTTTTGGACGACGGACTTACATTTGCGTGTCGCCCACGCAGCTGCGATTTCCGAAGAAGATCATGCTCCTTCAAATTCTTCCAGCGATGCGGAGGATGCTGTGGACGACAACTCCGGGCTGAGAACAAGCAAGAAGCGATGGACTTCCCCGTGCAATCGAATCCTCCAGCAGAGGAGCTCATCAGCACAGCTCGTGTAGTGGTACTGCGCCTGAGGTTTCTGGTGACTGACTCGAGCCCTATGTGACCTTTATGAGAGCGGGCGTGTTTTTGTACGCGGCGCAAGAGCCGCTCGCTGTTTGCCTATCGGCATCGGCAAGTTTTGAAGCCTGGGATCTGATTTTTTTCTTCCATCTTGGACGCCGGACACGAGCCGGTGCATTGACCTTTTTGGACTGGCTCTTTGCATGCTGACTGCTTTTTGCCCTCATCGATAAGGTTGCACCAGTCCAGGATGTGTGCTGTACTTTGGAGGTTTGCTTTCTGCTTGGATTACATGTTTCTCATCTGTAATTGCCTTGGCGACATGATGCGCATGCCTCTCGAAGGACTTTGGATGTCGTTTGTTTGCGGGGTGGCTTGGTACTCCACTTGTGTATCAAGTTGCGGGGTTGAACTGCGTTCTGGCTGCCAACTGCAGGAGTTCGCTGCCCGGCTAGCGGGTATAGCGCTTGGCAATGGCATTGGCTGTTTGGTCTTGGGATTATGGGGTACATGTCTATGTTTTCACAATTGTCTCATCATTTGCCCTATGGTTCATCACCTTTGATTGGATTCGTGGCAACTTTAATGGATAGAGCAGCTGGATGGGTGTGGATCTTTGTACGCAGGACGTGCTGACGGTACTGGCCTCTGCTTATCTTATTTCTTGGCACAGCTTGGCTGTTGGAAGCTCTCTGACTGCTTGGAAATTGGTTTGTGACAGGAGAAACTTGGTTTGCTGGCCCTCAGGTGTAAGGTCTAGCGTTTCACCTTGCTGCCACCTTGCCTTGGATGGCCATTCCCTGACTGGGAGCTGGCCGTGGCCTTGTGCAGTTTTTTGTTTAGTTTAATGTGTTTTGCTTGCCTGGCACTCATTACATGGAAGGCGTGTGGGAAAGCGCGACCTTAGGTCGTGAGCTGCCCGCTGCTTCCTGGAAGCATATGGCTTCTCTTTGGCTTTCCTTTTTGTCAACCGGTGACTATGCTGCAGGTGACGCGGGGGGGAAAAAACAAAAGAGACAATGTGGACAAGAAGTCGGACCCGAATGCCCAAACCCATGAGAGTGAGCTTTGCGCACTGAACAAATTCGCATATAGGTAATGAATTTTAGGCACAATGCTCGCGTCGCATCGAGGCGCATGAGAATTCCTCCTCGACTGATTTTACCAAGCACCAAACCAAGAAGAAACCAAGCAAGCCACAAGGAGAACCCGAAAGAAATGCAAGATCGCTATGCATTTTACTGTGTACTTTTCCTATGCATGCCTGTGCATTGCATTGTCTATGTTCCTTGTGCATGCCTCTATGCATTTCACTGTCTGTTTTGTTGTTTTGTTTTCGCATACCTCTGTGTATTTCGCGGTACTATGCAGGCATCATCGTACTATTCCTATGCATGCCTCTGCGTTTCACTTTGTGCGCTTTTCTACACAGTGTCTTTGGTCCAGTCACGCCACAAGTGCGACAGCCTTTGTATTTCTTTATTTACTGTCGTACTGTGGGGTCGCTCGTTTTGCATCAGCTACTTTAGATGGTGCAGCGCTTGGCTGCACTAAATTTATATGGTTCTGCGGGGTGTCGCTTTGCTGCTGATCAGTTCATCGCTAGCCAAGGTAACTTGGCTTTGTCCAAATTATTTGACTCGTTGGGGGTCTGTACTTTGCCTTGTTTTTGTTTTTTGTTTGCTGCGACTTTTGTGGCGATGGGAGCATTGCTGCTCGGACCTATCAAGAAGGTCATGCTGTGTTCAAGGATATGGTCCGTACTTCGGTGTCGATAGCCATGCCCACAGGTCCGGAAATGTGGAGCTTTAATCCCTAGCAACATTGATGCTACTTTAACACAGCTTCTACTGGTACGGTCTTGCAGCGATGGATCTTGACGGTTTTGGTATATTTTCTTTTCAGACTGGATGTGGCTTACATTTCATGGACGGAGCACGCGTGGTTCTACTTGAGGCGTTGTGCGGGATTGTTTACAGCACTTTTTTCTTGGCAATACTGGCGTACTGCGGGGTCGCTCCTGGTTTACATCTTGCTTAAACACAGGTACACGGCTGAGGATCTAACCTGGCTGTTGATGATGGATGGACGTGTCGTTGCGTCTTTCCCCTTTTTGGATTGCTTTTGACCATTCTGCGATTTTTACACGAGTGAGCGCAGCCTGTATACTTCTTTTTGGGCACTTTGGGATTTTCACTGAATTCGATTCCTCCTGTCGGTGCCAGGAGTGTTGAAGGCATCTCCGGTTTGTTACATTTTTCTAAGGTTACGCGGAACTGTTATCGTGGTACTGTCATGATTCGGTTCCTTCATTCGCTCTTCCCGAGCTTTGTTTGATTTGCTTGCTTGGTTGAGGCTTCCGTCTTCCGGCTGAGCTTTGATTTTTTGGAGGTGATGTGCTGAGGAACTTTTCTTTTCGGTGTCTGTTGTTGGTTCTGTGTTGTTGTGCTGTTTTGTTTTCTGGTTTGGTTTCTTTCTCCGGCTTTTATTTTCATCCGTTTCTTTGCGCTGAAACAGCGGACCTGCGTGACCGCAAATGTCTGCACGGATCAAACAACAGTTTACAGGAAAGCGCTGCAAAGTGGGTAAGCGTCAAACAAGGATTCTGTTTTCATTTTAAATTTTGCTTGATTACTGCAAGCATTTTGTTCAGCCATGGCATCCACGTTGCAGAAATACAGGAGTGTACAATAACATACATAGTTCAAATGTCGGTGTAAAGGATTTAAGCCAGCATTGGGTTTTGCATTGGTCAACATGTTGCAATGACTGATGTATTTTGATTTTGAACCAGTGCTTTAATCTGTTTAACTTCCACAACAACCTAAGCAATCCACGTTGTTTGGGCTTAAAAGCAGGACGCTTCTCAGCAGATTGCTGACGATCTTGGTGGTTAAATGCGCCCCAAACCTTGTTTTGAACGCGTGGCTCAAAGATGCTTTGACTTCAAACGTAAAGTGGCCGGCTGTCCAATATTGGCGTCCCATATTTGCACACTATGAAAAACATCGCTCCATATTGAAATGTCGCACATTGCCGTTGTTGAATTATGTTTGATTCTTGGTCAGTCGTGTGGTGCAGTGTTTGCCATCGGCATCGTGCTGTACTGGGCTTCACGTCGCGGCCGCTGACACTTGAACATGAGGTAGCTTCTATGAATGCCAAGGTTTTGGTTATGTGTTTAAACAATTCCAGACCCTTTGTGGCGCTGTTTGACGCCAAGCAGGTTTTGTCTGGACATATTGCTCTCCACATCCATTTGTTCGATTTTCCTAGATTTACTTTTTCTGAGACACATTTTGCAATGACCATCACAAGTCATGCTACTAGCTGTACATGTAAATATATATATATATATACATATGTACTTCTCCCTTGTACTTTGACCATGGCGGTTTCCATCCACGGTTTGCACGTACAGATTTGCGCCGCCTGCAAAGCCAAAAAGATGGCCATGAATGCCCTGGGGTCAAGAAGGCCGCTTCGTGATCAACAGTCCGGAAGATGGGGATGAAAGCATTACAAGTTGATCGCGAGCATCAAAGACCGAGGCTCATAAACACACTCATGAACGCTTGCAGGTCAAGATGTCGAGCGCTGCTGAAGGTGCGCTCGCCGTGGTCGAGTTAGGGTTGATGCCATTGTCCCATGCTGCAAGAGATCAGTCGCTTTCCGTTCCGTTGTTGTTTGGTTTGAAGCAATCTTTTGGCTTGTTGGGCGAATTGGCTCAGACCAGACGAAGGCTCCCAGAGAATCAGTTTTGGGAGGATCACAGGTGGGATGTTACACGACCAATGAAGGGATCTGTTTTTGCATGGGTTGGTCCGAGGATTTGCAAGGGTTCACCCCCATTCAATCAAAGCCATTCGCTTAATTTAACTTTAATTTTGGTTGGGATATATTTGGAGTTCAATATTATTTAGAAACAATGTATATATATATATATACATATTATATTGTATAGGTTTTTTTTCCTTTTTTTTCCTCTCCTTTTTTTAAAATAAATAAAAAAATGCTTATCGTTTGGCAATTGGAACACGCCTAGAAGAATCATCCTGTGCCATGAAGGTGGATGTTCACCTGCCCAGCGGAGATAGTTGCTCCATCTCACTCTTAGGGAAAAGGCCAATCAGCGAGCTGAAAGCTACAGCGCAGCAGCACTTCCAGCGCCGCTTGAAGCTCACTGCGAAAGGCCGGCAGCTTGATTTGGCGGCCACCCTGAATGAGGCTGGGTTGCAAGATGGGGACGTGGTGGTTGCAGTTGTGCAGCTAGGCAAACTAGCTGCCACTTACAAGGCGTTTGCCTTGCATGGCCATGGGGGCGAGGTTGTGACCTGGGGCGATTCAGACGCAGGCGGAGACAGCAGCCAGGTGCAAGAGCAGCTGAGGAATGTCCAGCACATCCAAAACCATGGGAGTGCGTTTGCTGCCATTCTTGAATGTGGGGCTGTTGTGACCTGGGGTGATCTAGGGGCGGAGACAGCAGCCGGGTACAAGAGCAGCTGAGCAACGTGCAGTGCATCCAAGCAACTGCTCGTGCTTTTGCTGCCATTCTTGAATCTGGGGCTGTTGTGACCTGGGGTGATCCAGACTGGGGCGCAGACAGCAGCCAGGTGCAAGAGCAACTGAGGAACGTCAGCACATCCAAGCAAGTGACGATGCCTTTGCTGCCATCCTCGAATCTGGGGCTGTTGTGACCTGGGGTTTTGAAGACTGGGGCGCAGACAGTAGCCAGGTGCAAGAGCAGCTGAGGAACGTCAAGCACATTCAAGCAACTAAACTTGCTTTTGCTGCCATTCTTGAATCTGGGGCTGTTGTGACCTGGGGTGATTCAGACACGGGCGGAGACAGCAGCCAAGTGCAAGAGCAGCTGAAGAAAGTCCAGCACATCCAAGCAGCTGCTCTTGGTGCTTTTGCTGCGATTCTTGAGTCCGGGGCTGTTGTCACCTGGGGACATCCAGAATATGGCTCAGACAGCAGCCAGGTGCAAGAGCAGCCGAGGAACGTCCAGCACATCCAAGCAACTCTGAGTGGGTTTGCTGCTATTCTTGAATCTGGGACTGTTGTGACCTGGGGTGATGGACAAGTAGGCGGAGACAGCAGCCAGGTGCAAGAGCAACTGAGCTTGCTGAAGTAATGTAGACGGCGCAATTCAGGAGTGCTAAAAGCGTGCTGAACGAAGGGAGCAACAGGTGAACTGGACAGTTGGATTCGGCATCCCAAAGTGTTGCTTGAGTGAGTGTTTGCAGTGCGACCACCAGCGCGATGCAAGGACGCGCGTTTGGACATTGGTTCTCCCACACAGAGTATTTTTTTCTAGGGCCATTTGAAGTACATTTCTCCGCCCAACCATTTGCAGCCGCAACTTGTCCACGAACCCGACTGAAAATACCGATTTGTGTGGGGCATTGCCCTTGTGTTCTCTTTGTGGGTACTTGAAACAAATCGGGTACAATATGCAGCTGCCCCGTCCTTACGCCTGTAAATCATTACTTTTTGTTTGAGGTGCTGTAAGTTTCTGTGGCAATCTGTTGCGGCCTCGTTTCCATCCATGAATCATCCATGGAATTATCCAGCGGGTGGGGTTGGGAAGAATTCCACCACGCAGGTGCTGTGCCTCTGCTCGCTGAGCTTCCAGGCGTGCGGGCTTGCTTAGGTGGGACCTGACAGGGGTTGTTTGCGAGGTGGTAGGTCAAGGGGATTTCGGAACGGGTTTTGTGACCGTTTTTCTAATCATTGGGATCTGCCAGGGCTTGCCAGAAGGGCTCAAAGATCGGCTTGAACGAGGATCCTTGGGATTAGAAACCTTGGGTCCGTGGCCTGGTTTTGGCAGCTGAATGTCCAACTCTTTTCTATTGGGCTGCTGCAACACGAGCCACGACGCTTGGTTGTGACCTGACTCACCTTTAAGGCGTTGCTATCATCGGTCACGATGATCATGATTGAGTCACCGGGCTCACAGGCTCACACGTAAGTCGATGTTGCCGGCAGCTCGTACCTCCTGCTAGCACCAGCTGTCAGTTATAAATCCAGGCTCTGTCAAAGGACGTGATTCACAATCCGGTTTTGCGCGAAAACATTCCACTCCTCCATTCCAGAGACTTGCTCCATTTAGCTTTTCATGCAAGCACGTTTGATTTGATCTCGATATTTGCTACATGAAGCACAGGCGTGGGCCGTGGGATACTGCTCATCGCTTGGACGGGTTTTTACCATTGGTGGGTAATCTGCGGTTTCTGCAAAAGCCGACTGTATAAAGAGTGCAGCCCTCCGAGGGACAGAACAAACACCAAACACAAACACACTCAAGGGTTTCGATGCGCTGGGAGGTGTTGGGCTCTGCCGGTGTTTTGAAGCATGGTTCCTGTGGAAGATGTCGCATGAATGGGTTGCAGCCTATCTTACCCAGGCCTCTCTTAAAGCCGAGTTGACACATTTCCAGGTAGGCTCGAATGAAGAGCGGCGCAGCTTCGGCTTACGCTGAACTCCAAGCAGTTTGTGCCGCCCTTTTCATGACCTTCCGGGAGCCTGTTGTGAGGTTTGGGGATGAAGTCTATCGCTGCGACGGACAAAGACAATGCCCCCCCGCAACCAACCGGATTTCAGGCTAAACTGGCATCGACTCATTGCCAGTTTTCCGGGGCCTTTCGAAATGGAACCAGAAAAACCTTTGCAAGATCGGAGCGTCATGGAGGGAGCTTCCATGGCCGGGTCCGGTTTCGGCCTGTCAAGGTTGCGTTCCTGGACCGGCGCGGCGAGGGAGAGGCTGATGGGGAGAGTTTGCATTGCTTAGCAAAAAACACACCTCACATCGCCATTTTTTCCGAAAACTTGCTTCTGCATGTCGGGGCTGTGATTTCGTAGATTTCGGAGGCGCCTTTGGTTTGGCAGGTTTTTGTCCGCGAGCGCCAGGCCAGTGATGTGGCGCTCGGCAGCTCGCCGCGCCTGGCGGCGTCGGCCGGAATGGCGCTGGCGACACTGGTGGCGCTGCCGGCCGCCTGGGGCCATGGTGAGCCACACCCGAGCAGATGAGGGGTGAGGGATTGCCCCAACCAGCAAAGCAGCCGTTCTTGTGATTCTTTGATATTATTTACATGGTTCGTAGACCATGTGAACACGAGGTGTTGATTGTGACTGAAGTTAGTTGGAGCCAGAAGGTCAACTTGAACAAGCCAGGAGGGGGCTTGATTGAATCCTCAGGTGCACTCCAGAAAGCATGGAAGTGGACCACAGCAAAAATGCAAATCTTCCAGGAGACAATGTGACAACAGAAGAGCGGGGTTCAATTTAGACCACTTGAGCAAGCATCAGACTCACTCCGGATGCTTGATCCCCTGGTCCCATTTTTGTAGTTGTTGCACGGAATGGTTTTCAGGCGTGCTCATAGTGTAATTCTGCCTCCAAGTATTGGATCAACCAGAGCAAACGGACACGCGTCCGGCTTGGGGTGGGACCTTGAACGACTCTTATGGTTGCTCACAGCTATGACCGAGAATGACTAATGAGTTTGACGCATTTTGGCTGCTGAGTGTTGCGTTACGTGCTACTCCATATGGGACAGGTGCCAAAGTGAGACAGTTGACACTGGCCACGGACGCCTGGTCCCTGTTGTGCAAGACGGTCCTGTTGCCCCGTTCAGCAGATGCTGCCACGGCTTGTACGTGACCAATAGAGATAGCCAACAATCACCATCCACAGCTACATTCTCATGGGTATCCGAACTTCTTGGAACCCAGCTTGTCAGTTCGCTTATGCTCGGTGCAGTTGTAAGTGGTTCAACAGGGCTCCTTGCAGGATACATCCAAAAGCCACCTTAAGGATCGGATTCCTGGCAAAAAAGGGTTTTTTAGAATGGACTCCTGGCAAACATTTTTTTTTAGAATGGAAGACAGATATCCTTGGGGTCTCCTTGGGACCCGGAAGGTTTCTTCTCAGGTGACCGTGGGGCCGCTGCTGGTGGTGCCTTGCGGCTTCGTGGGCCTCTTCCTTGAGCTGGCCATGCTCCTGAGGCCATCGGAACAATGAGCTCGAAGGGTTCGGAGCTCCAAAATGGGTGGGTTTCCGGTTGGTTCCCCTTTAAGACCGCCCAAACAGGGGCCCTTGTGAGAATTTGTTGGGCCCCACCCACCAAAGGTTCCCTGATGAAAGTTACACCCAAATGCAAACGTAGATAGGTTTTCATTTTGTTTCCCAAAGCAAACTCATACCATCAACAAAGCGCAACCTATTTTCCATTTACCGGGCTTTGGTCTAAGGGACCCTGTGTTTTGGACGTTGAAAGGACAACTCGAGATACACTGGACTCCCTAGTTGACGTACACACACACATGGCCCTATGTTAGGTGGTTGGGAAGGGGTAAAGTAGTGAAGGAAGTGATTGAGTAAGCTGAGTTGGTTGGGGAGCCAAGGAACAATCGCTCTTATGTTGATACTTTGTCGCATCGTGTCTTTTACTATATTCATCAGCTTCCATTGACATGGCGCCCTCTTTTGGCTCAGCTGCGGCCGGCAGTTGCTTTCCTTATATGGTGCTCACCTTGTGCTTTATGGTGGTCTTTGACATGCAAGCATGATGCTTTCAGGCAGCAAAGCCGCACATTTGTGCCCGTATGCTTCTTGCAACCGGCAGTACAGAAGCAGCTAACACACACACACACAGATAATGTAATCAATCTGAGTTTAGGCAAGCTAGTCGTATGCGCACCAACCAGCAATGCAACAAACACCAAAAAAAGTATATGGCTAGATATTGGACTCTTCTTTGCCGTTTCCCCAGTCACCCCTTTGTCACCATTTCCACAAAGGGAGCCGAGCGCCTTGAGACAATTCGGTGAGGCAAAGTCCTGAACATGAACATGAGGTCTGCTTCCCGGACCTTTGGTGCCTTCTTCTCCTTTGGGGGATTTCCCTATAAGATCAGTCACAACAGCGAGGTCAGCCCTGGTTTAGCTGGCAACTTGGGTTTTGCGAATGCGTGGGGGCCTTCCGGCCTTCCCTTTGGCCTTCCCTATCGATATCCCTTTTGCTTCGTGGCCTTAGCCCGTCAGGCAGAGCTGGTCCTTTTGCGTGCTGGCGGGAGCTCTTGGCCTCCCCGTGGGGCGGGGAAGCTTGGAAGCTGGTTGGAGTTTGGATTTTGCACCAGGCATCGTCTTTTTGGACGAATCACACAAAGACCTCAAAAGAGAGATCTACGTACGGCTTGCCAGTTAGTGGGAACTCTTTTGCAGTACTCTTTGCTGCAATTTCGCTCGAGTTCAGCTGCTTGTTCGGTTTGCTTTAGACATGTGGGCAGCAGTTCACCGTGCGTGTTCCTTTTCCAGGGGAAATCAACTCCTTCCCGCCTCGCTCTGTTTGCTAAACCAACACATGGTTGACACTGCTTGATGGTGCTTGACTGCCTGTGTAATGCCACTTGTTGGATATGAGTCCCACATGGCAAGTCACTAAGGTCATCTTGAGATCCAGCAGCCACCAGTCTGAAAAAGAGGGTTTGCCAATGCTCATTTTTGTTGTGTTCGGCACCTCGTGCTAGCGCAACATGAACCTGGCTGTCCAAGGAGGGTTTGGCTTAGCTGCTGATGAAATTTCAGGCGGTGAAGGCTCTGCCTTTTTCCAGCCAGCATCGGTCGTGCCAAGGATTTGCTTCCGGCAACCCCTCGACAGCATCTGGTTTTTGTGCTAGATGTGAGATGAGGTTAAGATTGAAGAAGAGAGGACAGACTTCCGGAATCAGCAAGACTGCAGCCCTGCAAAGTTGTTCCTAAGATCCAGATTTCGGCTTGAAAACAACCTGGCTGAGGCATGGCCTGCTGCTTATCCCTAGTGTCGCTTTCCAGTACCTCCTGTCTGGGCCTCAAGCATCCGCATGTTTTTGGGCGGCTTGACAACCATGTCATTTGGCATTTGGGAGATGTCCCTGTATTTGTCAGGGTCATTGGGCTATGATTTAAAATGGACCTCCCTCAACAGTGGTTGATGGACACAGCACCCAATGCATTTCTGATGTCCACCACTCGGTCTGTCTTCGCTTTAAACAAATTTTACCGTTCCATTTGTTTGCAGGGGTAAAGGGATTTGTTGAAACGCTCATTTTGCTTCCAGACAGCGTGCATGCCAACAGGCACGTTTGCCATCAATGCCAAGGGTGCGGAACATGTTGCCACCCGCCAAAGATTCGACTCCACGCACGGGGCCATGCTTTTGCTGCGCTTCTACTCCCCAGCTCTGGGCTTTTTCCGCCCTGTGCTGGCTTTTTCCCGCACCACCGCACTTCTATGCGACGGCGAAGCTCAATTGGTTCCAGTGCCATGCATGTTCGTTCTGGACTTTGGGCCACAAATGCAGGAGCAAGTTGGCCAACGGACAAACCCATCATCTTCTGGACGTCTGAACCCCAGGCCCGCGCTGCTGGGCCCAGCGACAGGCGGTCTTGGTTGGGCTTGGCAGTTAGCTGGGCTTGGTTGTTGCAGTTTTGGTTTCTTTGTTTTCATCTTGGTATGTCTATGCTTTTCGTTTGTGTTGAGTCAACCTGGCACTGTTTGGGAGACTTTGTGTTGCTCGGCATGTATTTGCTTCATTGCAGTTGTGTATTTGGATGAGGTTTGTGTTCTTTGCAATGCTTTGCTTTTCCTATAATTGGACTCTCATGCTTTGTGTGACTTAGCATGGGAAGGTATGGTACCGGACTCGCTGGATGTGGCACCCCTTCCTTCCCAATCGAGTTCGCACTCCTCTGAGTGAGTCTCTCATGGCTTCTTCTACGCGAATCGCCGCACAAAGCGCTGGCCCCTAGGTCTTTTCTTGACTCACCAAATACAAGGAACGAGGGCTGGCTTCAAAAACATTGGCGAACAACTTTAGTATGTCTTGAAGGAAACAAGAAATCAACATGCTTCGTTTACTTGTGGTTCCACCAGAAATGTTGATGTACTTTTGGTCGTCCACAAACACGGGGGATTTCCCTTTCGCTCGCTGTGGATTTTTCAGCTCAGCTTTCAGGCCTGGGCCTGGCAGCGTTGCTGGGGGGTGCTCCTGCGGCGCAGATGTGCCTGCCCCAAGTGCTGCTGCTCCTCGTGGTGCACGGCGGGGGGTTTGGTTTCGGATTTCTCGGAGGGTTTTGAGGTGAGGGATGGAACCCGTGAGTGGAGAATGGGGGCTTGAAGGAGTGGGTTCAGAAGGTCTAAATTGATAGTGGAGTGAGTGGTGGAGAAGCATTTGGTTCGTGGATAAGCAAGCTGGAATGGATTACCGAAACATCTCCGATTCGCCAGCATGGCAAACGCGTGACGAAATTCCCGGAATCTTCAAGAGGGGCCAAAAGCCTTTTTTGGATTCCAGCTCGGCTTGCGGGGTGCCCGTGCAACCACTCCAAACAAGGGTACCCCTCAAAAACAGACATCCCCTACTAAGAATACCTCAACTGACCATTTTTGGGATCCCCCAAAATAGACATATTGGCCATTTGACTGCCACGGCTCGCTTGCCCCCCTTCTAAACGATGCTTCCATGTGTGTGGACATTTGCCGAATGCGTATTTCTCCCACAGGGGCAACCACAAAAGGCTTGCCATCCCAACCCCCCGAGGTTTGATAGTCCATGGGAGGAAACATACGTACTGCGAGAGGTGGGGAAGGTTTTAATGGCTCTGGCAGCTGCAAGGCTGCCGGACATAGGCGACTTGTTGCCTGTTTGACCAAATGAGTTGCCCCTTATGGGCCATGACCGAGGCAGCCAATGCCTATTACCCATCACTTACTATGCATGTGAGCCCTTGTCAAATTCATGGATTGTAGGTTTCTCAAGGTTTATCATGTAAGATATAAAGAATCCAAATGGAGATGAATGTCCTTTTCGCTTCCGAATGATTTTTGATAGGGGCTCCTATGATCTTTTTGTTGCTCCATGAAAGCACTCCCGCGATGTGGAGCCACGAACCTGACCATCAAACTGAAGCTCAAGAGAAGAACAGAACTTAGACAGCTCAAGGAGCCCCAGAGCAAGCGCTTTGCCCCATATGGATCCCGAGAGTTCGGATCACGGCTTCAAGATGCACGCACGTTGCTGACTCTTCGTCATCAATGGTGCTATTTGATCGAGCTTCAACATAGCCAGGCTGCGATGCGAGGCTGTAAATAGAAGTCTTCAGATAATTGATGTGTCTAAAAGCCAACTTTGTGAGGAAACCAACCGACAGCGAATATCATAATTGGCAATGGGAGCCGTTTCAGCTGGCAAGCATTGCCACAGTCCAAGCCAAGGGGCGCACAGCTTTTCGTGGACATCTCGGCTTCCAGGGTTGATATCCGGTGCTCTGACTTTCGTTGAACTGGTGCTTTGACTTCGGAAAAATGGGATCTCCTTTCTCATGGTGCGAAAGTGGATGCTTCTTTTTCTGAGCTCCACTTGTTGGATCTATCAAGGACTGGACATAGCGACATCAGGACTCATGAGGGGCAGCCCTTCCAGTACCTCTCTTACCAGCTACAAAGACTTACTTGTGCAAGCCACGAAGGTTGAGGCAGAGCGGGTGGCATCAGCATTGGTCGGTGACGCAAGCAGAGAGCATCCGAAGACCCCCCCCCCCCATCGGTGTGTGACATTTGTCCAGTCCATCCTCAGTTCTTGGGCACGGATCGAATGTCCTGAGCCCGCAACGGCCTTGTTAGTCGACTTCCGGCTTTGCCATAAGCCCACGTTTCATAGGCTGGAAGGTGAAAACACACACTGTGAAATGGTCAATTGTCACGCCCTTTTGAATTACTAACGATAAACAGAATTCAGGGGGGGAAGGCTGTAACCGTTCTGAACTTCAGGAAGTGCAGTTTTTGTTTGGCCAACATATTGTCCATCAAGGGTGAACATTTGCTCACCAAGCGTTCACTTGTTCAAACACAAAACCAAGCAACGCGCCCGTTTTCTTTCTTACGATGGTCGTTGTACAAAAACACAGCCCGTTTCTGACAGCCGATCAAACGAATGCAGAAGCGAGGCATCCGTTGGTTTTTGTCCTTGCCCCTCACCCTCCGCCAGGCGCTTGCATGCTGCGAGTGCTGAAGGTGGGCAACTGGAAGTGAGACAGAGGAAAACGCATCGCCATCGGCGGTGGGCTGGGCGGCGTGCCGAGTGCGCCGAGCCGCTTTTTCCCCCTTTTTGGCGGGGGGTGTGCAGTTGCCTTGTCGGAGGAATGTTTGGCCCTCCCAAAAGTTTGAAAATTGCGGATTTCACGTTTTCGCTGGCTTAGTCATGGTGCACCCTGTTCTGCAGTTGATATGGGACACTCAGTGCACGTCTGCTTCATAGTCGGCTCTGCACAATTATACGGTGCTGGGGGTGCCTCAGTTTTAGCACCAACACCTCCACACCTTTTGTCTCTGGACGCTCCATTGTTTAGGGGAATCACTTTACGGTATCCCACTTTTCGTGTCTTCCCTTCTCAAGTCCTCTCGAAAGTACGGCGAGCTTGCAAGGATCAAAGGATGAGAACCTGGGGGTGTAAATGGGAGTTTTTTTTGCAGCAACCCGCAGATATATTTTACACGCTAAACAGGGTACAGGTTTGGGTTGGCAGCCTCTTCGCAAACCACAACTGGGTCCGAATGGGCGTGTCAGCATGTTTGCGCATCTTTGAAGGGGATTGGACAGAAAACATCAGCTAGCTTTTGCACCTTGTGTGGTTTCAGAAACATCAGGGCTTGAGAGATGTGTGAGATGTGCCACTTGTTCCTTGCCTCATTTGCCATGCACTTTGCTTTCGTTTGGTTTGTAATTCTCGCTGGCAACAGTGCATGATGGACATCGACACAAATAGCATAGTGAATCCCAGAATGATCCAAGATCAATCAGAGGCACCGAAGATGCAACACTCTAAGAGAGCAATGGGCACCGCCGCTTTGATTTCTACCGCAGCCCTGGGCTCTGTTGGTTGTTCCCTTGCCAGAGGTCTCGGAAGGTACAGTGTTCGCTCAACATCTCACTTGCTCATTCCAAACTTCGACCTTTTGCCTGTGGATGGTCGCTGGCTGCGCAGGCCCGGCGAAGGGTCGGACCTGACCCTGGCCATTCATCAACCTTGTAGTTCTGGATCATGGGCGGGCGATTGTTTCAAGTTACGCTTTGCCGCGCCTCGTGTGTGGCATCGATCTAGCCCAGTCAGCCAGGCAGGAAGACAGGCAGGAAGACAGGCAGACGGACAGACAGACAGACAGACACACAGAGACAGAGACACACCAGACAGACCAGACAGACCAGACAGACCAGAGACAGAATAGACAGTCAGACATAGGCTTGGCTGATGTTAGCAATAGAATGTGACCAACACCAGGGGGCAGTAGCATGCATTGCCTCAAGAAGCCTTTTGACCAAACCAATTTGGGTAAGCCTGGACCTTTCTTTTGTGCACGGTTTCCTGCCTCGAACATCCTGTTGAGACTTCGCTGAGCGACCAGGATGGCCAACGAGGCGAACGGCCTGATCCCAGGCGGGCAACGGCTAGGGTGTGGTTGCAAGGGCACGGGGGTTGCCCTCAACCGCTGTTTTTGGAAATCCCCACGCTAAAGAGTGGCGTGGGAGTGTTATGGTTTTTCTAGGCTGCCAGCCCTGACAACCCAAACAGAAATGGGGCCCCACAGAAACTGCAGCTCCAGCTGTCCCCGCAACTTTCTCCAAACTTCTCTTCTGCATGGTGTTCAGCACATTGAAAATGGAGTTTGCTTGAGATGGACACCTTTCAGAGTTCATTTAGTTGCAGTTTGAAAAATTAGGAGTAAGAGAAGGAAGCAAGGTCCCAAGGTGATGCGAGCAGGCAATGAGTGGGGCCATCTTTCAAAGGTTCCTCAGAGTTAACCCAAGTTGTTTTGCAGATTACAAAGACACTGGGAATCAAGTTGACATTGTCTTGGGTGGTGTTTGAGCCCTGGGCTCTGAGGGCAGATGAGCGGGTTCCCAGGAATGCCCTTGCTGTGCTGTGCGGTTTTGGATTTCGCTTTGGAGTTCATCCAGGTGTCACAAAGCACTGTTGTCGTATGTTCCAGCTCTTGTCGATCTGTGTGCTGGCAGAAGGTTGATGTCCTATGTGGTTATCTGAGAGACGCTGAAGGTTGATGTCCTGTTGGCTTCATTTTGCGATGTATCGAAAAAGGGAGTTGCAGCATTTCGACATCTTTGCGTCAAAGATGTGCCCTACATGGGGCGTTTGTTGACGGCTTGATGGCACTCCGCAAATCCGCCTCGCGTTTTGCAGATGTGCATACCACGTACGCTCCCACACGCACACTAAAGTATCATACTGTACCTGCAGAGTTCACGCAAAATGTTCGCATTTTGCAAGCTGAGGCAATTGCGCGCTCCCACAGCCGCGCAGGCCATATCTATTGTTGCTATAGATATTCGCCGCTTCCAAACCAGGGAATGCGCTTGCTATAAGCTTGCATGCCGTAGCATGTGTGCCCGTCAGGATATTATATACGATACATTGCACATACACAGTCTTTCATTATGTTTCGTGTGCATGAACAAGTTTCCTTTGTTTGCTGCTTGCAAGGAATCTTCACAGCACACGAAAGTTGTAACTGCATCGGCAGGTTTACGGGAGCCTGCCAGGAGGAGCCTCGGCGAGCAAAGGGGGTGAAGGGGAGGTCGAAAGACAAGCTCGCAGAGTATGAACTGGTCGATGTTTGGCTCAGAGTCCAAGACTCGGGGAAAGGGTTTTGTTTTTCCTGAATGCGTAGCGAAGGTTCCCGTTATAGAAGGGGGTCTGGGGGTCAGCATGTGTTCGCCAGATGCGTCGCTGTGTTCGCAAGTGTCCGCAAGCGTTCGCAAGCGTTCGCGAGCGTCCGCGAGTGGAACGTAAGGCCGTGCCGTTGGGGAAAGCGTTTTACAAGTCGTTTGGATGATTTGAAGCGTGTCATTTTTTGGGCCCCTGTGCGGGAATCGTAGCCCTCAGCATGTCAGACGTCGTTTTGCTGCGCAGGCGCAGTGTTTTGTGAAGGCGCGCGTGTGCGTTGCAATTCCATTGTGATTCGCATTTCAGAGGGCGTCGTTTTCAGGTGTTTTTCTTGCAATGCGCGCACAAGCGTTTCCTCGAGTGTTGTTTTCGTTGGCCCTGTCGTACAATCGGCTCGTTTTCACGACTGCAAGAAATCGGTCGAAGTCATTCTGGCGCCACAGTCCCGCGCTAGTTTTCCGCGCGCAGTGCGAGAGTGTCAAATTCTGATTTCGTGGCAGGCGCAGCTTTTTGAGCGTTTTGCATGTCGCTGTAACGTGATTTTTCGTGACAGGCGCAGCACTTTAGAGCTTTGCGTGCAGATTTAGTGGCAGGCGCAGCACTTTAGAGCTTTTCGTGCAGACTTAATGGCGGTGCGTCGAATTGCTCTCGCTGTGGCGCGGTGAACTTTTTGCAAACGCAAAGTGAATGCAAAGTGCACCCTTTGCGCACTTTGGGTGGGTCGAATCGCTCTCGTTGTGGCGCGGTGCATATGTTGTACATGCAAAGTGAGCCCTTGCGCGGTGCACATGTTGAAAGTACACCCTCTGCGCACTTTGGGTGGGCCTCGCTGTGGCGCGGCGCACTTATTGAAATTGCAAAGCGAACCCTCTGCGCACGTCGGGTGGGTCGAATCGCTCTCGCTGTGGCGCCATGCGCATTTTGAAGCTTCACAGCGGGCCCTCTGCGCAGAAGTGACCCTCAGAAGTGTTGTCAGAAGTGTCGCTCAGAAGTGTCGACGAGAAGTGTCGGTGAGAAGTGTTGCTCAGAGGTGTTGCTCAGAACCGTCGATCAGAAGTGTTGCGCAGAAGTGTCGCCCAGAAGCATCAGAAGTGTGGATCAGAAGTGGTGCTCAGAAGTGTCGATCAGAAGTGTTGCTCAGACGCGCCGATCAAAAAAAGTGTCGATCAGAAGTGTTGATCAGAAGTGTCAGTCAGAAGTGTCGATCAGAAGTGTCGCTCAGATGTGTCGATCGGAAGTGTTGCTCAGACGTGTCACGCAGCAGTTTCGCTCAGAAGTGTCGATCAGACGTGTTGCTCACAGGTGTTGCTCCGAAGTGTTGATCAGAAGTGTTGCTCAGAAGTATCGATCAGACGTGTGGATCAGAGGTGTTGCTTGGAAGTGTCGATGAGAAGTCTTTGACAGAAATGTCGCTCAGAAGAGTCGATCAGAAGTGTGGATGAGAAGTGTTACTCAAAAGTTTGGATCGGAATTGTTGATTGACTCAGAAGTGTCGATCCGCAGTGTTGATCAGAAGTGTTGCTCAGAAGTGTCGCTCAGCACTATCAAGCAGAAGTGTGGACCAGAAGTGCTGCTCAGAAGTGTTGCTAAGAGCTAAGAAGTGTCGGTGTGGATCGGAAGTGTTGGTCAGAAGTGTTGCTGTCGGTCAGAAGTGTGGATCAGAAGTATGGATCAGAATTGTCGATCAGAAGTGTTGATCAGAAGTGTCAGTCAGAAGCGTCGGTCAGAAGTGTCGCTCAGAAGTGTGGATCAGAATTGTTGATGAGAAGGGTTACTCAGAAGTGTCGATCAGAAGTGCTTGAGATTCTCGCTCAGAAGTTTCGATCAGAAGTGTTGCTCAGAAGGTGTCGATCAGAAGTGTCGACGAGAAGTGTCGGTGAGAAGTGTTGCTGAGAGGTGTTGCTCAGAACCGTTGATCAGAAGTGTTGCGCAGAAGTGTCGCCCAGAAGCATCAGAAGTGTGGATCAGAAGTGGTGCTCAGAAGTGTCGATCAGAAGTGTTGCTCAGACGCGTCGATCAAAAAAAGTGTCGATCAGAAGTGTTGATCAGAAGTGTCAGTCAGAAGTGTCGATCAGAAGTGTCGCTGAGATGTGTTGATCGGAAGTGTTGCTCAGAAGTGTCGCGCAACAGTTTCGCTCAGAAGTGTCGATCAGAAGTGTTGCTCACAGCATGTTGCTCCGAAGTGTCGATCAGAAGTGTTGCTCAGAAGTGTCGCTCAGAAGTATCCATCAGACGTGTGGGTCAGAGGTGTTGCTTGGAAGCGTCGATCAGAAGTGTGTGTCAGAATTGTTGCTAAACAGTGTCTTCGGAAGTGTCGTCCGGAAGTGTTGCTCAGATTTGTTGCTCAGAAGTGTGAAGTTT